TAAAGGTAACCTACTCAGCCCCTAAACACATGTTCGTGCACGGCTCGATGAGGCGGCCTGGTTCGAGTAAGGTCTGAGAACATGCCAAGGCTGGGCAGCCACAACAAACCTTCGACGCCTTAATAACAGAAAAATAAAAACAATAGTAACAGTGATAAACATAATGGTCAACCTTAGATTTCATGAACAATATCCGAAAATGAAAAACACAAATACTAAAAAACATAGCGATATAATAACAGTAAGCATGGCAGTAGAATTTTCATAGTCCAGAAAGGCATGCAAGTTGGTGGCTAAAGGAAGGGAGGCTAAACCCTAAACCCAGCTTTCTGCCGGAAGTCTGAAGGGCCGCTCTTCAAAAAGAGTATCCTGCACAACTCAAGCTATGCCAAATACAGGGTACCTTATTTTGGGGGTCCTNNCTGGAGTACGCCTTCTTGCTCGAACCGTCGGGGGCCTGAACAGGATCTTGATTTGGATGTCGCTACGAACCGGGTCTCTTGAACAAAAAGATCATTCCTGGAGCACCTTGGCTGTTTTCGGAAGTTGGGTGGTGCAGGGGGTTTTGTGTGCTGAGGGCAGAGCGTACAGCCTGCCATGGGCAGGCTTCTCCAAACGATGGATCTGTAGCCGTTGTTTGAGAGCTGGATTAAGGCGCTGAGGATTCAGAGGGCGTAACTCAACTCTGTTTCTCACAGGTTGCCCATCCTAGACCCAGAAAGCTCAGAAGCAAGATGACTCTGCTTGACAAGCAGGGCAACTCAACTCGAGTCAGCACACTTTTCAGTCCCAGCTCCATAAAACACTCGACTGAAGCCAACACTCTCCGCACTCTCCGATCCTCCGCCCACGTTCGCCAGAGCAGAAACCCAACACTCCTTCCCCCCCCCCCCCNNAAGATGACTCTGCTTGACAAGCAGGGGATAGCAGGGGGCAACTCGAGTCAGCACACTTTACAGTCCCAGCTGCATCCATGAAACACTACTGAAGCCAAACACTCCGATCCTCAACCCACGTTCCGCCAGAGCAGAAACCCACCAGTCATCCTCCCCCCCCACCAAATGGGGAGGTCCTTGTCAAGCCCATCGAGACGAACCCATAGGGGCTCGAAGTGTGGGAACACCTCCTGAGAACGCTCGCGAGTGCCTTCATGACTGCTCCCACCTTTCCTCTGTGAGTTGCGTATTGGGTACTGCAAGATGGCGGCTCACCACAAGGAGAATGAGCATGGTGCTGATCCAGGATTCTGACCCCGACGAGCTACGGTGGAAAAGACCGAAGAATTCTGCAACCCGATCATGACCAGCATCGCACACACGGGGCAATTGCTTTCGAGCCACCTCGCAGCCGAAACCTGAAACCTTGAAGCACTAAAATAACTAAGTGATGAGATCAAATCCAGGTCCCACATAGACGACATGAAGACAGGCAACACATGACGGCCCCTCACAGCAGTCCTTGTTAAGAAAGGTCTCCAACTTCCTGAGGCAGTGTTCAAGTCACATCTTTTCGGGGCATGACCCTTTGAGCCATCCATCTTAGAAGGTACGGGGTGCAAAGACAGCGAGGTTGTGGCTCTACACCCTAGCACAAACTAGCCGAAACTAGCCTGAAGTCCTCCAACCTGGACAGCTGACCCGGCCACGACCCTGGAGCCTTCGCATTACACACGATGCTCTTGCACGCGGGGCTCGAATCCTCGATTTAATCCGCCAAATCATCAACCACGAGGACCCTGTGTGCATAACATAAGCTCGGTCCTCAGCTATGCCCTAAAGCACAGAACAGGCATCCCGGAACTGAACCTCAAAAACCTGCAGCCTAAATCAAAAGCCGGGATCTCCGGACAAGCTGAGCTCTTCGCCCCTCACCCAGGCCGGCGGCCACGGACACGAGCAGCGGCGGGGCGTTATTGTAAGCTGCCAAATCAGCGTGTATGGACACCAGCAATGGACCAGCAGTGATACTACCCCAGAATTCACATTGTGTCAACCTGGACCATCACGTTTCGATAACTGTCTGCTGACTGATCCAGGCTGGGGCTGCAGGCAAAGTGCCCTGATCTTGAGATCATGTTTCACTTCTACTCCTACCTACTGTCGGTTTGCCAAGAGGCCAGTAGACGATGTGCGTGCGACGTTCGATGTACCGCAAGCTGGTAAACTGCATGGCTACGAAGCCACAATAGAATCGAAAGCGAGATCCCACTGCAAAGCCACGCCGGGCTGGCTCAGCGTGACTTTGGGAACGGCTATGTGCAACTCCACCTGAACGGGGCTGGCTTTTCAGAAGCAGGTTCGGATGCAGAGTGAGGCATGAACAGGCTGATAGGAAACCACGGACATCCACGACGAGGATCAGCATGTAGAGGCGTGGGATGGCTGCTCCCTACAGAGAGAAAGAGACACAGAGAGAACAAAGAGAGAGAAAGAGAGAGAAAGAGAGAGAGAGAGAGAGAGAAAGAGCAAAGGTGCCGGCCCTCCCACCCCCTCCAGCCCGCCTTGGAGTTGATGGCCTCAGCTAGCTTGGCGGTTCGCAGCGTCTCCAGCTGTGAGGTGTGCTGGGCGTGCATCGCCATGGCCTCCATCATTCACAAGCCGGGGGCTCCCCGATGTGCAGCGGATCCGCACCCGAGCCCTGTGCGCGTTTTAGGACAGCAACGGCTACCAGGCAACATCAAACAAGAAACGCCAACACCGCAACACACTACTATGCTAACGAGAACTCGCTATCGGCACCGCCACTTATGATCTGAATGATACAGACGGCGTGTAGGTTTGCGATGACGAGAAAGGAGATCACGCGTTCAGGATATGATGATGACGATTACGGGCAGTCATAGTGGTCACACGGGTCATGTATATTTCTGTTGGTGGCGAAGGCTGTGTGGACAACGATGATAAGACAAGTGACACCTGCTCGTCGAGGACATGCCAGGTCAGGACAGCTTTTGCAAGTTCATTTGTATGTTGACTTGTTGGGAGTTTTATGCCAAAGTGCCATTTCTTGATCCGTGGAACCGACAGCATTCAACACTGGGAAGCTTTGGTGGTTGTGGTGATCATCGAAAACTCGTGCGACTTACCATGGGTTGAAATCAACCAAGGCTGGCTTGCTGCTTCTAACCACCCGATTCACCCTGGGGTCCTTCTCTGCTGCTGCCATGGCCACGGCGACACTGTGCGCCATTTCCTCCAGCCCACTTGGCGGCAAGGTCTTATACTCACTATCAGCCCCACAGTGTAGCATGGAAGCCTCTTGGCCGCACAGCGGAAGTAGGCCATGGGCAGTATGCAGGTTTCGGGGGATCGCGCCCCGGTCCTCTTGGCGCTTGGCCTGAAGCTGCTGCTCCTGAAGTACCAAGCATGGCGACTGGTGGGCTGGGAACCCTCGTGCAAGAGTCTGGGAGTTATGACGCCTTTCGCAGGAGTCTCGGATTGGTGGGTCAAGTTCGATCATAACATCATATACAGTGCACTACATATACGGTAACATAGCATACTACATGGCCTGCCTGCAGCAGCTGCTGATTCTCCATCTTCAGCTTCCGGATCGTTTCTTGCAGATCACGGACCTGGCGGGCGATTGGATGTAAGATCCCAGTGCTCACCTATGTACTCACCTCGGACACTGTTGTAACTTCTGTTACCTTTCGGGAACAGTTCTCTGGAACACCTGAAGCACAGCTTGAAGGAGGTCGAGATGCAGCAGCAGCTACTACAGCCGGTCACAGCTTCTGCGCTGCAAGGCTTGAACGTCCACACTACCCAGAAACTAGTCAAAGTTAAACTTCTCCCCGGTCCGTCGGCAGCTACGTGCAAATTCCATGAATCTTCCCAACTCCAGGGTTAGGACGAATGGTGAGAAGTTTCCTTGTGCGCGCCACCCCCCAGGAATCGCCGCTAGGAGGCTTTCCGCCGCCTCATGTCCGGGTTCCGAAATCTAGGGCAGAGTCACAGCTCCACTGCAACATCCGCATCATATGGTGACTGGTGGGACAAAATCTAACACTCGCCCGTCCCTCCCTGTTTCACCGCTCAGCTGCCTCTGCCGCATTCTGCTCGTTTGCCTGTTGGTCTCTTCTGTCAGCAGCCTGACATGCAGGATAATGTGTTTGGAAGCCATGGCACATAACTGCATACAGTTCTTCGACAAAGATGTTGAGCCCTTGATGTCTGGATGCTGCAATCCCATGTCTTATGTGAAGAAGGGCAAGGACCAAGAGAGCCCTTTCCAGCCTCGCAAACTTCTTGCGTCAGCTTCTGCTGGTCTGCGAGACCCTGATGCGTGCATAGGCTCAGATCGGAGCGGAGTTGTCGCGCTACGGTGGGTTTGGTTCACCTGCAGGTATTCAGGACCGGAGAAAAGGCTAAGGTAATTTGGTCTAGAAAAGGCTGGTTTCTCCAGAAGAAACGCAACAGAAAGCTTGAGAGTTCGTTGATTCTGGTAACCAGAGGCACTTCCATGCACAAGGACCCGAACCCCACATACCCCAGTATTAAACCCTCTCCTCTCGTCAGCCACTCTCAGAACATGAATTCCTGAAAGCTCCTTGCTCCTGGCCGCTTCGACGACGTTGTGGGCCCTGAGCTCCAAAACTGCCAGATCCTTCACGCCTTCAACCGTGAAGCCATTCTTAAGCTCTTACAAACACTAAAGAAGGCCCGGTAAAGCTTGTTATGCAATCCTAAAACTTGTAAACACCCGCAAAAACCCTGAAACGCCCTATAACCTACCTATCAAGCGCGGGGGAAAGGACCCTCGACCGTAGGATCCTTGTTCAAAGGACCCCTACCAGGGACCGCCCCGTCCCCAAAAAAAGACAAGCCCTAAACTCAAACGGCCTTAACCCTAAACCCCAAATAAACCCCTAATCCCTAATCCCTAAACCCTAAACCCCTAAACCCCTAATCCCTATAAACCCTAAGCCCCTAAACCCCTCAACCCCTAAGCCCCCGAAGCGGCCTTCCGGAGGCGCTCGATCTCCGCTTCCTTCTCGGCGACCAAGGCCTGGTTTGCGTCTGAAGTCTCTGCAACAATTCTCCAGCTTCGACAAAGGACCTTTGGGAAAAAGCCTCCCGTATATCTTTCCGAGGAGGGCTTAAGGGCTTAGGGGGTTTAGGGTTGGGGGTTTAGGGTTGATAGGGATTTTCTACTAAAGCGCTGCACAGAAGGGATACTGAAAGGATTTATGTAGGGATTTAGTTGAGGAGTTAGGGATTTCCGGCGCAGGCCTTTCTCTTTAAGGGTTACTATACGGATGCCCTACAGGTTCTTTAAGGTTCTGGGCTTGGGGGATTATGTAGGGTTTACAGAGGGCTCAAGGATAGACTAACAAAGGTCTCAGGGTGTTGAGTGTGGAGTTTTGGGGCTCTGAGTATACGCTTGCGGGCATTTGTGCTCTAAGTGTGGGGCTTGGGGATTGGGTTGCTACACGGGGTCGGGAGGGATTTGGCCTCAACTTGTAGTGGACAGGCTCTCACATGCTTAAAACCTCCAGCCCCAAAGCCGCAAACCGTATAAACCAGATACAAGAAGCTTGTAACACACCAAAACCTGAAAATCAGTATAAATCCTTAGCCCTATACCCCCTTACTAAAGCACAAGGCCAAGCCATACTAGCTGTCAACCCTAACCCCGGCCTCAAGCTTCGCACAAAGCTCCTCAGAGCGTTCGGCGCGCTGTCGGTTGCTTTCGACCTGGCCGAGGGGTTCAAGACTTTAGTGGCACTGGAGATGATAATCTGAATTGTTTATCTGCGGGAACAATTCTACTATGCGTTGTCTACCAGTCTACCATTCTATGTCGGATTGTCTGAGACTTTGGATTTGGGGGAGCAACGCAACATTCAGAAACACCGACAATCTGATTTCGTGGAGCGTATACTTGCAAGGAGGACGTGCTTGCACCCAATGCTCAAAAGTATCTGAAAACCCAGGTCGGAACAGGCTACGTCCTAAACCCCGAAATCGCAAGTGCCAGTTGCGAAGGGCCTGCGTCTCGAGCTCGGCACGAGACGCGATGGCCTCTTCAAGCTGTGTTGAAAGCGAGGCCACCTGGGTGAGGGTTGCGCTGAGGGCGTGGGGTTCGGAACTTCGATCATAGGATCTGAGTTTCAGCATGCAGTGCCTCGGTCTGTGCAGGCTTGAGAGTCGTCTTGAGTTTAAAGGACGCTGCTGTGTGCCATATCTCAGCCAGTGGAAGCCGTCTTCGCCGGCATACTCGCGCACTAAGTCACCACAGACTCAACTCGGAACGATGGAGGTGCGCCTTGCTGCAGGACTCCAAGCCCGTCATGCTGAAATATCCTGAACCTCAGAGACTCTTCGTTGAAAGATGAGGAAACCTCAACACACCCAGAACGACTAAACTCCCAATCCCGCAATCGTGAACCCCAGACTCTGCCGAAGCCCCAAACCGGGAACTCAAACAAGCAATGCACAAAACCCCAAACCTTGTCCTTGTGCGGCACAGTGTCTAGGCCCCAAAATCCTATATAGAACCCTTCTGACAAGCGTTACCAACTAGCACCCTCAGAGAACCCTGCTCATCAGCACCTTTACAGACTTGTAGGGCCTCACCAAGCCCTCAGCATCTCACAGCTCTTTCTCTTCGCTGCACGCCTGCGGCTTCAACTCCTTGAGCTGCTTCGTGGACTCCTGGAGTTCAGCCTGCGCAGGGCTGAGGAGAAAAGAAACTCCAAAACCCGAGCACGTACAGGAACACTATGCCACTGTGCCAAGAGTCCTTCACAACTCAAAGATGCACCGGTCTCCAACAAGCCGACCGTGTCTCTCCCCGCCAACTCCCAAAGCACAGAAGCCCGAGGGGGCACCCCAGAAGCGCTGCTCCTTCGATGAGACACTTACCGAAATGCCGCGATGGATCTCCGCAGACTCGACCTATGGAAACCCCCAACCGAAGAGGGGAAAGAGCCCAACAAATACTACCTGCGGACTCGCATGGATATGGACTGCGCCAACCCAGACGGCTCGAATGTCGAATCCTCAACCCGAAGCCCTCAACACTTAACCTCTGGCCCTAAGTCCTGAAAAGCACCTGTGAAACCCGTCTCCCAACCTGAAGTCGAGTCTTCTCCTCGTTCAGAGCATCACGCTGCCTTCAGTAGGTGCATGGCTTTAGCCGGAAGACGCTTTGCAGCAAGGATTACCGAGAGCTCCGCAACAGTTAGCTATATATGTATGTATATGTATAGTTATACATGTATGTAGATAGATAGGTGTATATATATACACACATACATACATACATACATACATACATACATACATACATACATACATATGTAATATAATATACGCAAGACGTGCACATACAGACATCGTGATGCACATGCAACCTACTTAGCTAGCCTCCCTCTTTAAGTCCTTTTACCTGTGGGTAAACATCCATGTGTTCGTACATGCATAGTTCTGCAAGTAAACTGCATGCAACATGCCAATGCTGTGGCATGCTATGCGGCTTTTTTCAGGTAATCTTTATGCTACGTCTCTCTGTACCCGTGTACAGGTGTACACCTGTATGCATGCATTTATGTAAGCATGCACACACTGATACAGATACCCTTTTCAACGTTGATATGGGTATATATTAGGGTCCCTTGTAGGGTCCTTTTTATGAAGCTGCCGTACTTTTTTGGGGATCCTAAGAAGGGACCCTAATTTAGAGAACTGCCCATGTGCGCATATAGGCCCGAACCTCCTGAGGTGCTTCAAGCTCGCGGGTGTGAGGCCGCAAGGCTCCTCGGAGGGCAACGGCCTCGCACACGCGGCCAAGGGCTTCAAGCTACCTAGCTAGCCACCTAGCTAGCTAACTGGCTAAATACAAACTTACCTATAACTAAATGCGTACAAACGAGCTTCCATATACGTATGTTTAAAATACATATATGAATACCGCTGTGCACGACTTTCTTCAGAAGTCACTTGCTTTTACATTGGGCCGGTGGCCCTCGCATGGAACCGTGTGCAAGGGGGGCATTGGTTGACGTCTGTCGAGTGTCGAGTCGACATTAAGACTTAACATTAAGATGTCGAAAATGCGAGTGTGCTTTCTACCTGCACCCCGGTTGCTTCCAGCCCTCAGATTGAATTATCTTGAATGGTTGGTAATCAACGGTGCTTTTGCTGAGGGCTTTTCTCTAAGATCACAAGTTGCTGCAAGACCGGTGACGAAATCCTTGCCCCGGCGGTTCAACCTGAAAAAAGGCAGTGCAAGTCATAAGTAACTGCATCGTACTTCGTGGTGACTTCTGTGCACTCAGTGGTGCGATATGAGACTGACCAAGTGGAAGAATCAGAAGCACTCTGACCTGAGTCAACGCAGAGCGCGACATGACAACACGACGCCACCGAAGGCAGGTACACGATTTGGGGCTTTCGGTTCCGACCGTAAGCAACAAACCCCCCTTGACCCTGCCCATAGAGACCCGCAATCCAAACTCCAAAACCCCAATGTCAGTCAGGAGGCGCTGTCTGGGACAAACTCTCGCCGTCGTTGTCCAAAGCCAAAGCCTGAGTCACTGCTGCAGAAAGAAACTGAAGGGTCTGTGCATCCTTTTCATGAAGGGGCCAACAAACAAGTATGATACCTGAATGATCTTAGATTCATGTGATGAGTATTATTCTCTACGAGCCATCTGAAATTTGCGCCCACGAACACCTTCCGAACAGCAGCGATGCTCCCTTCAACAAGGTGATCGCCCAGGCCTTGCACAATCATTGCGGCCGGGAGTTTGTACACTGATTCCAAGCGCATCACGACTTCACGTGATGTCAGCATGGCGAAGTCATCGTGTCTCGCAGTACAAGTACCAAAGCCTAAGCGCTTAGCCCGGACTCTGAACGCAGAAAACCAAAAGCTCAGAACTCAATAAGTCTAGACCCCCTTCAAAAGCCCCATTCACATCTTGCTGGCAGCAGTGCTCTTTTCCTCAAAATTGTTGCATCTTGGACCCTGAACGTTCTGGGACTTTAGACCCTGTGTTAACGAAAAGCCTAAACTTAAGTTGAGCTCTCGACATGGGCACCGCTCGCCTCCTTCGAAGGGGGCGTGCTTGCCACGAGCCTTGGAGCTTAGAGAATGCGGAGAGCTTGAGCCAACCTAGGCTCAGGCTTGTGAAGCACAAGGCCTCAAGCTAAAAGACCCCAGTAGACGAAAAGCCGCTGATCGACCGGAGGACGGCATTCAGAAACGCAAAACAGCACTGCACCGTCTCGCTTGCGCTTTTGTGGAATCCATCCGTCCTCGTATTGAAGACGGTGTCTAGGTTACGACACGCCCTTTGCTGCGGGGGGAGTGCGGCAGTGGCTCTGAAAGCCTTTAAAAACCTGGTTAAACCTAGCTAGGCTTGGCCGGCTGACATCAGCTGGAAAAAGGTGTAGTCACGGTCCGACAATTCCGGATGCAAGGAAGGCACTTAGACTTCTCGCCGAGCGGCGGCAGGGACGGGGTGCCAGCCATTTGAGAGGAAGGGCTCTCCAGTGACCTGTGCTTTCAGGCGTAGATAGGTCAGGGAGTCTGCCTTTGCCGCTTCCGGTGGTGTGGGAAGTCCAAGTGCTCGGGGTTATGACGACTGGTGTGGCTCTGTTCAACTGTCACGGTCTGGGGCCTGGGGTTGACATCTCCTTACGCTGCACCGCTGCAGAGGGCTCCGCTGTAAGTGCTGCAAGCCGGTGGGTGACGGACGCTTCCTTCAATGAACCAAGGAATTGGTTCTGACCCGACCACGACGACGACACTGATTCAAGCGCCGACTGCACCACGATTGCGCTCACGCACCGTCTCCTTTCAAGTGCTGCGTTGCTTCTGCCTGAAGGATTGCATTTGTCTGGCAGATGTGCCACGAAAATGCCAGGATTGCACGCAAGCAGCCACGGATCTTCTACAATTCTACAATAGCAGTCTTAGCTGAACTATGTCTTGGTCGCGCAAACCTCCGTTGCGGAACCAGCAACACAGTGACAGATTCCCAAGCTCGAGACGTAAGACGGCTGAGCGAACTATTTGGAGAATGCAGCAACGAGGCTTCATCTCGAGGGTGCACAGAAACAGAATCAAACAAGCATGCGGTCATGACGACTTATGTCGCGAGGCTCCATAGACAGTATGCCACCGTTCTGCGTGAGTCAACATCTAAAGTCTAAAGGCAAGAGTCGCAACCAAAGCCTGGCCAGAGAAGGAGCTCTGAGGATCTAACTACACTACAGGTGCAGGTATCTCAGCCCATTGCAGCGTGGCTCCGCGACGGAGGACATTGCTTGGGCCCCGGGGGACACGGCCAAATCCTCGGGCACACTGCAAACTGTTCCATCGTGCTCCTTGGGGAGTTTTTGTGACGGGTTGTTAAAGAGATCTTGAAAGAGTCTCCTAGAGCCTCTCTGCTTTGTGACCTGGTAAACGAAAAGATCTCACACATTGCTCCAAAGACATGTCCATAAACATCTGGAGAAATGTGCTATTCTGAGTTGCGATCGACTGCAGCATAGCTAGCCTTTTTGGTAAATGCTTGTGTCGTTGACTTCTACAACAGCTTTAAAGTAACGAAGCGGCCTTCCATCGAAGCGGTCTATGCTCATCCCAAGCTGTGAAATACTGTGGTTCCGAGATACCCTGAGTCCCGAAGTCCTACATTACCGAGTGCTAAGAACTCAACAGAATGCGTGCTTGAAATGAAACAAGGATTCGAAACCAACCGAAGCCCAAATTCCTACAAGAATCAGCTGGAATCGCTTCATCTCCAAGGCACCCGAATTCGATCGCTCTGGCGCTGCGGGGCGACTTGCCATGACTTGGCTGAGGAAGGTTTAGGTTTGCGCTTCGCGGCCTAGCGATGCACAGATTTTAGGTTGGTGGCTTAAGGTCTGGGTTGCGGGCGGAATCAAGTCTACCTGAATCCGCGACAGAGTTTCCGGGCAAGATGCATGAGGTTCCAAGATGTCGATACTTTACCCAGGCGAAACAAGAGTGCAGAAATCGTACAAACAGTGGAGTGGCTCCAACATCTACACTCCCACAGCATGCCAAAAGGCTGAAAGCATCCATACAGCGCTTAGCCAGGACACCTGGTAAGGAAGCCTCCAGCAAAGCAGCAGAGCAGCAGCAGAGCAGCAGCAGCAGCGGCAGCAGCAGCAGCAGCAGCAGGAGCAGCAGCAGCAGCAGCAGGAGCAGGAGCAGGAGCAGGAGCAGGAGAAGTAGCAGTACTTCATTGTAACAATGAATAATACTGATCATTCTACGGATGTATCTTTATTGTTGATGCTAGCATTCCTATTAGTGGTGGTGGTGGCAGCAGTAGCAGTAGCTGTAGTAGCAGCAGGAGTAGTAGCAGACCATGTAACAGAAGAAGAAGAAGAAGTAGTAGTAGTAGTAGTAGTAGTAGAAGTAATTGTTTTTGTAGTAGCAGTAGCAGTAGCAGTAGTAATAGTAGTAGTAGTAGTAGTAGGAGTAGGAGTAGGAGTAGGAGTAGGAGTAGGAGTAGCAGTAGCAGTAGGAGTAGCA